CAGGGTTTATTTTAAGAAAAATTTAGAACTGCACATATTAAGGATGCTACGACGCATCATATGTTTGGCTGGGGGGTCAAAGGGTGTTTGACTGGGGGTCAAAGGATTTTTATCTATATTTAACGTTGTAAATTTATAGTTAACGTTGTAAATTATGATAGACTCTTAATTTGTATATAGGTGGCAGAATAAAGGTGTGGTTGGTGCGGCCAGACAAACTCGATTCTGGATGGGGGCTACAGGTAAGGGGTGTCCCCCAAAATTTTGAATTTAGAGGCTTGTAAGTTCTGGCAAAGATTTGTTTCACCCAACCACCCACAAAAACTGTTTCAAAACATGTAACAGGGAATCATGAATACTCAATATATAATAATAACTTAGGCAGCAAAGAATATTAGGTTCTCCCACTCTAATCTCTTTTGGATAGCTTCGCTCAATTTTACCTCCTGTTCCATTACCCCCAGCACGTATGTGATTTGTGAGGAAAATATGAGGGTCTGGTGGTCCTCTCCCAGAAAACATTTAGATTTTTGATGCTCAATGACAGCATTTCTGGCATCTGGAGCATCCACAAGGAGAATGAGTAGATGAGAAGACTGTTTTGAGGTTATATTTTTGTTAATTTGGTGGCTGCACATTTGAGTTTTAAGAACTGTACAAATTGGTTTAGAACTGCACATTTTGTGTAGAACTGCACGTTAAAATAAACCCTGCGCTGATTCAAATAATTGATTGTAAAGAAAGCTTATCGTATGATATCAGTGGTATGAATTTACATGTAACACAGCTTGAAGAGGTCAAGACAGAGGCTTTCTATTGAGCAGAATTTCACATTAGTACTGAACCAATTTGCTGAGTATCTACTTCTTACGTAAATCTTCCCTGGGATTTTAATTATTTATTTATTTTCTTAAATACAAACGTTACTGTGACGTCAACGCGGAATAATAAACCTGAATTATTGAATGAGGTCGAGTAGGGTATGAGGAATTATTAAGACCGAGGTTAAATAATTGTGTTATTCGCCGAGGCCTTAATAATTCCTCATATCCTGCGAGAATTCAATAATTGTTTTATTATTTATTTGTCGGAATACACCAAAAAGTTTGGCGAACCTTGCCTTTGAGGAAGCCATTTGTATTTTCCCGCTTTTGACATAAGTCACATGAATTAGCGTGACGTCATAGCGTGTTACATTGTTTTTCACTAATAGGGAGTTTACGATCTGCGACGCAGCCGCCTCGACGACGCGCTTTCAAAACAAAGAAATTTGGTGTTTCCACAAGCAATAGTATTATGTGTTTTATCGCCATGCAAACCTACAAAGAACTTACAAACTTAAGAAATTTGTCAGGCAAGACAAAAACTGTCAATAATTTGTGGTCCCATGAGTATTGTCAACCGCGTTGTCATTCTCAACACAACGTTAAAAAAGCATTATTACGTCTTTCAGGCAACGCGAAAGCTTAATGCAACACAAGAGGTGTTTTACTAAAAGTCGAAATTACAGCAAACATTGCACACACTTAATGCGGTGTGCCAACATGCATCCCTAGTCCCTACCAACGAAAGCTTGTTCATTAACCCAATCTGTCAACTTTCCCTGTGGGAGGAAACGGGAAAAGACAATACATCAAAGAGACTATTACAGGTAAACTACGTGAAGCGTTCCTCTTTCGAGTTCCTAACTCATTTGGAATTTTCATAATCAGCTTTGCAAATTTGAAAAGCTTTTTGCAAATCCTCGAGGGAATTTGCAATATTCCTGTCGGCCGTTGCAATATTCTAACGCAAAGAAAGTTCCTTTCAAATTTTCCTAACTTCCTGTTTTAATTTCCTGACTTCCTGTTCTGTTCTGTTCTGAGCGTTATCATTGGCGGATTATTTTTGTTAGCCAATTACAATGCGCAGAACAGAACTGGAAGTTAGGAACTTGTAACAGGAAGTTAAGAACTTCTAACAGGAACTGAGGAACATTTATTTGGCTCTTAAGAACATTTCAAAATTCCCTCAAGGGATTTGCAAGGGAGTTTTTCAAATTTGCTAAGGTAATGAGGAGAATTGCAATCAAATTAGGAACTTAAAAGAGGGACGCTTCACGTAGTTTACCTGTAATAGTGTTTTTAAATTGTAATTCGAGATTTGCTGGTGCTAAGCTTAGCCTATTAAATTTCTTTCTGAAAATCTCAGATTTAGTTTCCGGTACTTTCCCAGACTCGTCCTCAGTCGCTTTTAAATATAAATACTTGTAGATCTTATATTATTATTTTATAATTCCTCTTTATTAGCATTTCTTCCTTGTATTCAACAATATTCAGGCATGATTTTTTCTTTGTTGATGTTGTGTACTCAGGTGAATATGGTGTTTGTGATGTTACTCTGAGTGTATATCCACACCGGGCGAGCTTGAAAATATGCCCGACCACGGTGGGAATCGAACCTACGACCTTTGGAATACCAGGAATTTCCGCACGCAATACAAAAGTATACAAAATTTGCAAACTTTGCAAGGCTATATATTTTCCGCATTTTACAACATTTCGCAACAAAACTTTGTAATTTTACCAATTTTAGTATGCTCTTTCTGGCCGTGGTGATTTATTTGCATCTCCTTGCCAAGTGTTAAAATTAGTCTATAATGGGAATTGTCTATTAATAAAAGGAAATTTTTGTATACTAAAGTTGGCCCAGAGCGTGTTAAGAGCGAAGGTCCACTAATATCGAGCATCAGCCGGTCACACTCAAAGTTTCGATTTTTCTCATTTTTGGTTTGCTGGAAGGCATTACCAAGTAAACAAACGTGATGTAGTTTGTTTTTCAAAAAAGCGCTAAAATTCTGAGAAATCCGAGAAAAACGATTCAACTGTCGGCTGGCTCAAAAATATGCAAATTTTCAATTGAATCAAACAGGTTCAAAAACAACTAACGCATGCAGAATTGGAAAAGATATGAAAACTATACGTTTGTGAATCGATGGAAGAGTTGTTTGAGACTTGATTGAGCATAAAATCATGATTTTAGCTATTAATTAAAACCAGACAGCTGATATTTAGAATCGTATGGTATTCACACATAGCGAAAATTACAATCTACCGTTGCCACGCAAAAACCATTTTAACTAAGTGCCCCACATTTTTTCTACACGAAACGTACGCCATTAACTAATTATATGTTCTTCTATAACATATAAAAAAATTAGTTTGGGTTATTGTATTTAGAGTTCATAGGGAGGCCGTGAATATTGGGTATTTTCGACATATCGCGTGACTGAAATCGACAAGTGTTTTGTTCCTTGCGGACAGTTCCGGTCGCTATTTTCTCATAAATAGTTGCTATTTTCATTGGGAATTATAAAACCCGAAAATGCATTTCCTAAAAAAATAGCTATTACTAGTAATTTACATGGTTTTAGCAGTTACAGCATTCTTTAAGTAGATAGTGCTATGACCGAGATAATTTCTCAGTATATTTTATTTTCTTAGGGCCTGTTCATATGATCCCGCTTACCGGGACGTCTCGCTTACCGATGATCTCGCCGCCTATCTATTTTCCTATAAAATTTTGCATTGTGTTCATATGAGAAAGCGAGCTGGCCCGCTTGCCGAGATCTCGTTTGAATTTGCCGAGATCATAGGTAGGCGGGATGAAAATTTTTCCATATGAACACGCCAGCCCGCTTACCGGGATGAAGTGAAACAAGTCTTGCCGGTCGTTTAATTTAACACTTTTTACTTGGTTTTATGTTTGTTTTGTAAACAAGTATTAAATAACCACCTGAAGCCGCCAAGTCTAAAATCGCCAAGTATTTGTGTTGCTTGACTGAAATGTAGAAGTTTTGCATACGCTAATTATAGAACTACAATGTAATTTCATCTCGGCAAGCGGGACGAAATACTCCATATGAACGCACGGAAATATTCGTCTCGGTAAGCGAGACGTCCCGGTAAGCGGGATCATATGAACAGGCCCTTCCCGCCTACCGGGACTTCTCGCTTACCGAGACGATATTTCCGTGCGTTCATATGGAATATTTCGTCCCGCTTGCCGAGTGAAATTACATTGTAGTTCTATAATTAGCGTATGCAAATCTTCTACATTTCAGTCAAGCAACACAAATACTTAGCGATTTTAGTGTTTTTCTTCGTTTATTTACAAAAAAAAGGATTGCTGGCAGGTGCATATTTAATACTTGTTTACAAAACAAACATAAAACCAAGTAAAAAGTGTTAAATTAAACCGGCAAGCTATGATCTCGGCAAATTCAAACGAGATCTCGGCAAGCGGGCCAGCTCGCTTTCTCATATGAACACAATGCAACATTTTATAGGAAAATAGATAGGCGGCGAGATCATCGGTAAGCGAGACGTCCTGGTAAGCGGGATCATATGAACAGGCCCTTATCGACTTACTTTCTGTAAATAAGTTTTAACTATAAAAGACAAAACTTAGCACATTTTCACGAAGCTATAAAGGAAGGATGACTTCGAAATTATTTTACTTATCAGGTAAGAGCGCCAGTTTGTCTTGAGACGGCGATCGGGCGATGTAATTAACGTGTAAATTTCGTATGTGGAAAGTTTGATACTGCATGTCTAAAAATAGATTTTGCACAAGGTCTGGCCGTCATGGAATATAAGTGCTCCTTTTTCGCAATAGTTGCTGGTCATTGTGGCCATGATACTAGAGTTAAAAACAAGTCATCAGAATGCGTTCAGTTGTTAAGTTGTAATCATGATATTACAGGGCATAAATCGTCACTAGGACTGATTGATATTGAGAGCGAAGTTGACTTGATTTTGGCGAGGGCGTCTATGTTTACGGCTCCGGAAAACATTGAGCAATTCCTAATATGTCCTGCACATCGATCTACTCTTGGAACAGGGTGGAAACAGGCAGAAAACGAGAAATGCAGAATTCCTGTGATTCTATCACGCCATAGCGACGAGGTGCGAAAGAAGCCAAGAGGAGAAGCAAAACGTGGTTTGAGTAAAGCTGGTTCGCATCTTGTTCTGCGCGAGACTGGAGTTTTTCTTCCCGTGGGTTCAGGTTTGTCTTTTTAATTCTTTCTATACTAAATTGCTGCATACCTAATTTTAAGGATCACTGCACATTTTCGCAGGGGGGGGGGGATCACCCGTCGACAACATTTTTGGCCTCATGGAAATCTGTTTGCACCAATTTCCCTGAATTTCCCACTATTATTGATATTTTTCCTATACTACCCCAAAAAATAACATTTCCTGGCAAATACAAGGCATTTCCTGCAATCTGGAGAAACATATATTCTATAGAATTTTGAAGATTATACACAATTCATTGCTGCATTTTTTGTTATTTATAAACAATTTATCAAAGCAAATTTTATCACTGAACATTTCACATTTTATCACTGAACATTTTGCTTTTATCACTGCACAAATTGGTTATCACTGCACACTAAATTAGATATAATCGCTCGTGCAATTGTATTTGGTAAAAATTTACCAGATATTCGATACAAGAATATTTATTTACTATTAGTAATCTAGTAAGATCTCGCCGCGTCGCATACGTAAGGGATGACCATTGGAAAAGTGATGGGGGGAGGGAGAAGATCAGATGGGCATTTTTATTCTTGACATTAAGTGTGGTAGGAATGTTTTCTGTGTGTCTGAATTAACGTTTTTCAGTTTCTTTTTATTACCTTGCTCGAATTTGTTTCTCTTTCTTTTTCCTTTTTTTTTGTTTTTGACACACATCCCATCACTTTTCTAATAGTTCGGCGCAGGGACGTCGCGAAGCCATCAACATTGGGCCATGTTTCTGTGCCAATATTTCCTAGGATTTTGACCAAGTCGTACAAATTTTTCCCGAAAATGTTGTCGACGGGGGAGGAGAAAATTTTTCTCGACTAATATAAGCACATTCAAAATTTTTCGATTCGACCAAGATAAGCAAGGCTTAATTCCAATTTTTTCAGATTATTAATGGTTCAGATTATTATTGGTTTTCAAGAGGAAATTAAGATAGGTCGTCACTCAGATTTTTTTTAACATAGGTGTTTGCCCAAACTGTAGAAAAAAGTTGCATAGCATGAAGGCTGACAGTGAGCCTTCGATGGGACAGCACGATTCAGCAGAAGACAGTAAAATGATCTTTTCTATGTATCGCTGATTTTTCCTATTAAATGTTTAAAGAGAAGACTTTTTATTAAAACATAACAAAAGCTTTAAAATTGTTAAAATTGCGAACCATTTCATAACTTTGGGCAACTTCGACCATCTTTTATCCCGAGTTTTAGCTTCAATTTTAGGCAAATATCAGTTCCATTTGGAACAATTTTGGGCAAATATCAGCTCCATTTTGACCAACTTTGACCAACGTTTGAATTATTGG